AATATTAGCCATTTTATGTAACAGTGTGGTTTGACTCATACATAGTGAGTACAATTTATTATAACCCATAGAAACTCAAATTAAACAAATTGGATGCATCCGATCCAATTTCATACAAAATATCCTTTAGAGTACAAAGAATTTAGCAAAATTGTATTCTTCTTTCGAACATTGTAGTAAATTCATTTCAAGAAAACCAATAGAAAGGTTTAGTCCGCTGTCGGTGAAGACAAAAGTGGAAACTTTTAAATTGGACGGACGCGGCGCGGCGCGGCGACGGTGACGTGTAATAAACGCAGTGTTCGCTACGTTTATCGATTTTCTGATTTAGCCTCCCCCAGCAGATAACGACGACAGGTAACAGGCCACCACTATTTACACGATACACTCACTTTAACTTTGCATTGTTTAAAATACACATTTAATACAAATTAGTTTTATAACTTCGCTGTTCTCTCTTAACAGCTGCATCGACAAGTAAGAGGATTTAAAACCATAATCCAAGAACAGTTAACCTTTCAATCCAACAACAGAAGATAAATAAAGCCATTCGTCAAATCATCTTGAGACTGGCCAAAGTAAAAAACATACACAGTTGGATAGTTATCAATTAAGCTAAATGTATAACAACAATACAGCCGATAAAAAGCCCAATAAAATAAAGTGTAGCATTAACAAAGATATACGGCGGACGCGAAGCAGACTTTCCTTTGATTGGACGCCGATTTATTGTGCGGAAATGCCGTTACTACGTAATATTTCCGCCCCGCACTATTCATTTTCCCTTTTTTACAGAAAAAAGGGCGCGATACGTCTTAATCGAAGCATCTAGTTTGTCGAGGGCGAGCGTATCAACTCCATACTATCGCAAATCGCTACAAATATCCGAAGCTATCAAAACTGTTACTACGGAACTTTTTTAGTCTGTGGTGCCTTTGTGAACGAATGAGGATAACCGTCTTCACAGCGGGATACTGTCAGGGACGTATCGCTAACTTTAGCATTAGTGTTTTGTCAGTTGTAGAACACAATGGGAGGGATAAATAAAAATAAATATTTCTTTCTTTATGAATGAATTTAAAAATCTTAACTAGAATGCGTATGTTTTTAAATATGAGGGCGGGACCTCTAATTTCCAAAATTGAAACTGTTTATTAATCTTATCTTATACTATTATATAAAGCGGAAGAGTTTGTTTTTTTGTTTGTTTGTTTGAACGCGCTAATCTCCGTAACTACAAGTCTGATTTGAATAATTCTTTTTGTGTTGGATAGCGCATTTATCCAGAATGGCTATAGGTTATAAAACATCACGATACGACTAATAGGAGCTGAGCAGAGCGTGTGAAACCGGGCGGAAGTAGCTAGTGTTGTATAAAGAGAAACAGGAAAAGAGTCAGTGGCTCTACAAATAAATAACTAAATAATAAAATTGGCTGATATTGCAATCTATAAGACAAATGATTAGGAACTCGCCCTGCGGAATCGAGACGTAACCCCAAAACGCTCGCATCCGCCGGGGATGATATATGCGAGGGTATTTCCTGACACCGGCCAGTAGCTACTTGATTTAGCGGAAAGTCAGATAAAACCTAATGCGCACAACAAAAAATATATCACAATACCAGCGCCATAAATATGACGGCCTGTCGTAAACCTTTATGTCTGTGCGTTGTTGCTGGCACGTGAAAAATTGCTGTTGCGATACATATACGAAAACTAAAACATTTTTGCGAATGGTGGATACTAGGAGAATTATTACGCTACAAAACATAACTTGGTTCGTAAAACAGACATAAGAAAATTACTGTAAAAACTCATAATCGTTTTTCCAATGGGAAGCGCAGTTGTAATGAGTTATAGGGTAGTCATTTATATTAATAGCTTTTCTCGGTATTTTCTTTGAGGTTTAAACGTTGATATTGCTAATCCGTATAAAAGCGCTAACGACGTGACGACAGGCAATAACAAAAATGGAAATCATCGGGCGCTCCAGGAAGTCAGTTATTAATATTCGTTAGGTATACAGCATAACGTGTTTATTAGAGAATGGCAGTAAATCGAGCCGGCGAGGGTGCGCGGCTCCGGGTTAGCCGCAAAATGGCTCGAGCGCGTGTCAGCTAAGCTCTAACGATGTTCTTCAGATCCTACTAACATATTTGATGACTGTGATTTACTATCAGATCAGATTAGGAAGTATATTTTGTTGGAATAACTTGCGAACACGTGACAAGGGTGCGTTTGGATTTGGTGGTGACTATTCATTTTGATTTTATTAACATGACTAAAGGGCGGACAAATTTTTAAAGTGTGTATTAATTTAGTTACTCGTTTACCTAATTTAATACTGTTCTAATCGTATAATGTATATTATGAATGAAATTTTTTACAACAAATAAAAATACATTGTATAAACACGCTATAATTATTTACGAGTTCATGTTTGTCTTATTTAGATACCCTTTACTTATCTTTCAATATGCTTCTACAAAGCCATGCTCCTCTCTTTCAACCCAGGTGCATAGTTGATGTGACCACGTTATCTATTTCAAGTCGACTGCGCGCTGACCGACCCACCGCTCGTCCATCATAACGATATTACGCTTACACCGACAATATTGTATTTCATATTACTGTTTCAAATACACCCCTGACAATCCAAAATGTACCTTAACAAACACACGCAAGGACAAAAGTCCCGCGAGCTTTTATTACAAAATCAATACATCCCGCCGTCATTGGGAACAAACCTTGCACTATCACTATGGTTTATTGTCAAGGGAAATTGAGTTCTATCTCAATGGGATATAATCCAATATGATGGTGTTGGAAGATTGCAAGTTTAGATGTTTTGTCCAAGCGGCTATAAAACGCTAAATCATAAATATGGAGCACTTATTAGGTCATATCGTGCTTACCAAAGTGTCAATGAATGGGATAAAGATAAGTTACTGTTGGTGTGCAGGAGCCACCCTTGTAAAGTATTCATATAAGTTTACTTATTTTGTTATCAAAATCAAAACGTTACTCAAACCACATTCGACCTTTGCTGTAGACTAGGACAGATCCTATATCATTCTACAAAAGTTTGAAAGAATCAAACAAAAAGGTGTGCAGCGCATGACTTCTTAAACGTCTATTACATCCCTAATTATCGAGCACCCAAACGATTTCCTTTGACATTGTTGGTGTAAGGATTCTGCTATTTCAATCACGCGTTAACAATCCAAAGATTGCAATTGGCCCACACGACCCGTTTATAATAACAAACTGACAATCTGTCAGTTCGGTTGTGGCACCCGAAAGCCTGTATTTCTTCATGTTTGTATTAAACTAATCGGCTTATCCTTCGCTTCAACAATCAAACGCGTCTATTGGGCCCTTTTACTGCGACAGAATCGAAGGCGTTTCGAGAATTTATTGAAAATAATTCTCAGTTTGTTTGCCATTGTTGAGCTACCGACGACTTCAGTCCTTTGTATTCTGTTATTATTTATTTAATAAACGGTTACACCTCTTTGTTGAAATGTTTTCTATCAATGCCATAGAGGTTCGATTCATTCTCAGTTCTGTAAGTCGGAGATATTCACACATCCATAATCAAGTCTTTATACCACCGCAGTGCCCGATTGGCTGCTTAAAATTTCAACGTCATTGTGTAAGACATGTTTAGAAATACTTATGTTTAATCTGGTCGTTATGTTAAGATCTCACGACTCCTGGAAATATTGCCATATAAGTAGAGGTACATACTCAAAAAAGATAATCAATACAAAAATAAAACAAAAAAATACTATCAATAATACCTCATTTTGAATAGAGAATTCTAAACTATCATATGGAAATGAAAAACGCAAATTTAAAGACAAAGTTATGAGTTGCTGTAAATTAGTATTTTATCCATATACAGACCTTACATCATCTGAGGATTAATGTTAAACAATAGAACATTTAAGTAAGAGTGTATAAAAATCAGATAGCTAGTCAGACAGATATAATTGTAGAACTGCAATCAGCCACTCTAAGATGAGCAGGAACATTGTCTAAATTTTCAGTAACTTATTCTGCTATATAATATTCACCATGCACCTGCATTCACATGCATCATTAGATGGTGAATATTACCGTTTTAGAGTTTTGATTAGTTTTGATGTACAATGACTAACATAACTTTTTAAATACTACATTAAACTAGAAATAGAGAAATAAATAGAACAGGTGAATAGAAAGACTACAGGCACAGGTATTTCAGTAATCGGGTCGCAAGCTATCGCGGTTGGCAGCCGGCGATTAGATAAACGGACGGGATCGGTAAATATTGTGAATGTAAACAAAGATCGGTCACACTGCGACTAGCCGTCCGCACTATTTGCTCGTTACGTTACTTGAACTATTTGATTGGAACATCCTCTGTTTGCCAATATAGTACATAAATAACAAGACTAATGTCAAAGAATAGAACCTAACGGGTTACCGGGGCTCCGGCTCGAAGTGCAGGTGTAGGAATAGGGTAGTTTTTAGTCAGGAAAAGTCTGACACTCCTTCCCGCCTCACCCAGGCGGAAGAAGTCATTTAATGGTTTACCCCCTTAAAAAAATGTCCAAGAATGAAGTACTCTGAAATTACCCTTTTCCACGCTAAATGTATGTTGTAGTACCTAATATTTCGACATCCAAAACGGACTAATACTCTTGTGTCATAGGGCGTCCCCTGTGACACAAGAGTACTGTCCCTTGTGACACAGAGGATGGAGTAGCCTATGTATGTCACCCGTCCTCTTCTCTTTCTTAATATCAAACTAGAGTAGTATAAGTATTGCAATTATTGTGATTTTTTAATCTTGAAGAAACTGAAGTTGTTGCTGTTTTTGGTTCAACAGGCATTTCGAAAGCCTTGAATGTACTATTTGGAATAAATAGTTATTCCAAATATCCCTATGGGTCTGAAGTGTGGGTATTTGCTTTTAGAGGGCATGAAAGGAAAATCGATAAAATTGTTTCAATCATTTTAATACGTATTTTGATAATAATTTATATATAACACATTTTTACAATATCGGGCTAACTATGATGGGAGGGACAATCTTAAACATTGTGTGACAATTCATTTTGGATGTTAGAATATGTATTAAGTACATAGTAGTGAATATGCATTTCTTATAACTATCTTCTACTAACATCATAGATAACATAGTCTCTATAGCGCATGGGAATACTTCATATTCTCGGTAACTAACCACACAAGTATATACACAATATACATTTACCATTAACTAATTCTATAGCCATACGTGTACACGTACGATAATATAAAACTTTCATTTGAATATACATAAATAGCTATCAACTAGACATATTCGACTATGATAATACTGAAACTTACAACTAGATATTGCATTCTGATAAAATCTGGTCATTTCTCATATAATAAAATTCCTTAGCTAAACGTGACACAGGTTTTTACACAAATATACAAACTCCAATCAAAGTGGAATGCATGATGATCACAATGAGCGCTTAGTAAGAGCGCCGAAGTCAAGTCAAGAGCTCCTACACTATGAGCGCTCACACATCGCAGCCGATAATTTCCCTTGACTCATTAATATTAGACATAATTATATTACAAATAAGTAGGAACTCCAGATACCTTAAAATTTCCAATCTAAGTACGAATATATGTACTCCATTGTATTCGAGTTACTATTTCAATTGAACAATATTTTTAACAATCAATTTCATAATGACAACTACGAAACATCTGCTCATAATTTTAAAGCCGCATTTGTAAAATTCGGTGTACTTAGCTATTGTTTGTTAAAATGTTAATAAAAGAATATAAAACTTTTGTTGCTTATAATGCAAGAAACTCACTTAAAGTTGAAGAAAATAAAGTAGATAAAGCGTGTTTCCAAGTGGAAACAAAGAAATTGCAAGTATGCATTTTGTACTTATTAGGTAAAATATTTTACGGTGCTGTAGGTTACCGTGTTACGAACACACTGCGATGAAAACCGAATTTTGCAAAGTGCGACACATGGACTAGTATATCACTTAACACTCAGTTTGTATTGGTGGTACATTTCACCACCAGCAGCCGCCGCCCTGGGGAGCGTGGCTACTGACTGGCGGCTGGTGATGCATGGACTGATGGTACGGTGGTAGTGACATCCCCAACGGTGGCAGACCATCAGGTTTGCCAACACATGGCCTACCATCTTTCACCAGCACCGGTACAGCTACTCGCCTTGGAGAGTTCAAACCTCCTACATTCAAGTCGTGAGCCCCTTTCTCCTGAACAGCCCTCTTAGTCTTGTACCTGTGGTTCTGGAACCAAATCTTCACCTGTGTCGGTGTCAGCCGTATCAAGCTAGCGAGATGTTCCCTCTCGGGAGCTGACAGATACCTCTGCTGACGGAAGCGTCGCTCTAGTTCGTAAGTTTGTGCCTTCGAAAATAGTACTCGTCGTTTGCGTTTCTTGTGTGCGAGGCTTTCGGAGCCGGGGTTCACGGTTGGTTCGTGGTCGTGCTCATCGTCGTGGTCGATGTCGTGTTCGTCGTCGTGGTCGTGGTCGTGCTCGTGACGCACGTCCGTCACTGGCGGGGAAGAGGCTGGTGGCCCCACGTAGGAGAGCTCCGAAGCACGAGATGTGCTATCTGGACTCGCTTGTTGACCCACAACACCTAAGACAAAAGAAAAATATTTATTAATTAAGTGTCAATTATTAAATGTGCATGAACTAGAAATTAATCATTATTCTACATGTTGGCCTATGCTTAACTAAGCTTTAAGGAGTTTATTAAACGAGTAGCAATAAAATAATTTAATAAAACTGGATCGCCTGTTACAAACACTCTCATCCGACCCACTTAATCTCTTCGAGGGTGACGCTCTATTTAACTCTAACTGTGTGCCATGTTCGACCAAATAATGGGATGTGAAAAAATCACAGCAAATACAACATTGTTCAGTATTCACCCCTCGAACGTTTAGTTGTTTCACACGGATATGATAATACGGGCGGGCGGGAGCGCGGCTGGGCGTGGTGGACAACGGCACACCGGGGATGTTCGCGCGGGAGAGAGGGGGGAGCAGGGTGTAGGGTGCCACACCCACCCCTGCCAGCTGCCAGCTTTTGTTCAACGATCGTCCTGCTTACCTTCATAAGCGCACCCAGGAAATTTAATAAAAGTATCGAGTCACGGATTCTCTTTATCTCCCAACTAAGTGGGTTACTCTGTGACATTGCAATAAGCTTACGAGTCGCTTTATCGTCGACATTACTTTCAAAAGTCATAAGACCCTGAATACATTAAATTCAAAATGCAACTAAAGAAAAAATCTACTGCAAAATTTATAAAACAAACAAATAAATACAACAAAAACCGAAATTAAAATCTATTGCATCAATCCTTAAATTTCATTAATCATGCGGTACAGGAAAGTCGTTTTTATATTGCATGCTACCTTTGTAAATGGAAGTCGACACAATAAAATCTATAACTGTCATCGAATAAAGAACAAATAGCATCCCTAACAGCCGCAAACATGGTGTAATTGATAGCTCGACAGCTGGCTCCCAGCCCCATCACCATCTATTGGTGACAAATTCGTTCCACGTCTCACCCCTCACGCCAAACAATCACTGGTAGCTACCCCCAAATTACCCCACAGGGCGTGAACTGTATACAACCCCATTTAAGACTCATGAGATTTTATTTATTTTGGAATCCATTGCAATATCCGCTGACATTGATTTGGATTTACTTCAATGTTACGAGAATCGGAAAATGTTAAACTTATCGAGATATGCTCATTGTTATTATTCATAAATTATTTCAATTCTAAAAGTTACTTAGTGCTATTGTAATTAAATTGAATTTACAAGATCAGAAAGTAGCAAACGTACTAAGTGGGGGTCCTAAATTTATGGTAATCAACTAAAACTTTCACACGGTCGAAGCGTCCACTTCAATAGATATTTGAATGGACAACATCGATGGTAATGAGCCACTAAAACTCTCAAAAAGCCAATCAATCAACGCCAGATAGAATCGGCGTTACAAGCAATCCAATGCACAAGTACATATAGAATGAGCCGAAAGTGTTAGATAAGCGATAAAAATAATTAATGACAACACCAGATTAGCGGTTGAAGGCACTTGAATGAAGGAGCATTTCAAAAAATAATCTCGGCCTCTCCAATAACTACCGAATACACATTAGTTTCGAGTGGGTCAACTTATTTGTGTATGATAATTCAGAGATGACAATTTTCCGAGATAAATGCCTGATAGGTAGGATTTAGTTTGTCTTGCTGGGATTGAAATTGACCGATCGTCGGTACAATAAATATTTTATATTTCTGCTCTAGGTACTAATAATCTGTCCAATCCAACAACATTAAAATCTTTAATCTTTCAACCTAACTTAACTTCGACCGATGACAATAAATGTATCAAAATAACTATCTTCTTACTTGAATAAAGTAATACAAACTGAATCAATTTGTCACAAGCAAGTACACATGGCCTCAAAATCCATGGAAAAATACCATCATATTTTGTTCATACTATTTGTTTGTAGATATTGGATAAAATACTGATACAAACTGTACACGTCATTCATCACGCTGCAATGTTATGGAGGTCCAACTGATACCCTTTTATCATTTATCTCTGGACAGAAATATCTCAAAAGATGACGACTCTATAAACTGGTAACTAAGACTGTACGAATTTGATAATCTTATCCCACTGATAATCTGTTGCTACACATTTTTTAAACGTATGTTTGCAAGTTATACAAATATTATATGAAAACAATTCGTAACAAATACCTATGTATGAATTCATAGATTCAAATGAATGAAACCACGATTTGTTTAAGATATGTAGCAGACGCAGCAAGCGGGGAAATTATGTCTGCTAAGGGTAATATCAATTTATATTTTTTGTCAATGTCCTGAGTTAACTCACGGCCGTCGGATAAATTTTCCTCATCTGAGTACCTACTGTAATTAAATAAAAATAACAATACCCAAGTTTATTCATCAAAATGTAGTAAGCATAAAATTGTAACATAATGGAAGTAAGTGCATCTTGCAGTTCAGTAAGTTTGATTCAAAACATGGTATGAATGATAAAACGTGTATGTCCATAATAAACAAACGTAACTTGACACTCAACAAACAAGAGTTAGTAGTAAATAATATGGTTTCAGCACTCCATAGCCAGTAGGAGCACTCAATACAGAATACTAGAATAGTATTTATTGGGGCACTTTGCATCGAAAGCTAATAACTTGAATGAAGCATCGTTACCTACAAACCCTTCAAATATAAAAGTTAGATCAACACTAGATAATGTTTGCAGTAAACTTTACACGACGATTTCGATACTTGTGTTCAATTTCAGTGAAGTATTATTTAAAGTAAGTCCTTATTGTAAGTTTACTTTTAACTGTAAGATAAGGGAAGACGAAAGAGAATGCATATCAAATAAGCATCAGGCAATAATTATCTCAAATAATTCCTGATTAACGGCTTGAATGCATTGATATGAGACACAATAAAACATACATGTCTCGCGTGGATCGCATTTAGACACACGAAAGGATAAAGAAATCCCTATTATCTATCCCGACGGAAAATTATACCAACGTCCACAATAAGTTAAAAAAATATATACATAAAACCTTTGTCAATACCGATATTAAATTACTATGTCGTATACAAAAACTTTTGCAAAAATACTTAACATCATTTGAACTATTCAACGAACGACGCGCTATGAACCTAGAAATTTTACTTTCAACAATAGAATACAAGTCACACAGTAAATAATAAAAGGACTACAATTATTAACGGCAAAAACTTATCACAATAAATTTACTTACAGCTATTGTGTCCATCGTGATGGTCTAGAGACAGCCAGGGTTGGTGGTGCCTCAGCAGTTCATGTGAGTAGGGGTGGTGTGGAGGCGCGTATGGTGGCAGTTCCAAGGAGCACCCACCGAGGGTACCCGGCGCCGGTGCTGGCTCCAACCCTTTACCCTCGTTCAACCCTAATATGTCCGAGATCTGGAACCCTGGCCGCTGTCCCGGCATTTTCATACTATCCAGCAACCTACGACAAAGAAATATTTTCATTAATTTTCATGAATACTTAAACGAATATATTACCTACTTTTTAAAACAGTAGTATGGAATATAGTTCTATTATATTAATATAAAATGGGCCTAGTGTACTTAATAAACGACGTAAATACGTATATCTAATTAATTAAACTTGTACGAAGAAAAGATTTAAACGCGCACTACTTGAACTTTGTAAACTTTAAACTTTTTATCTGAAACGTCAACCCCAAGATGACAAATACCCCTATTGAAAAACATTATTATAAATTGAATACGATAGGAAGAAATTCCAATTTTAGAGAAACACTGAAAATCCTGAAAACGTTCTAAGCACAGAAATGAGTTCTAAAATATTTAAGTAAACCGCCTACAATGCTAAAATAGTATTCGCACACCTACTAAAAGCTACAACGCATGTAACTTCAAAAAAACCGTCCATTGAACCAAATCACAAAGTTGTCGAGCACACAATCCTAACAACTAATGTTTAACTCGAAAACTCACGTCATCTTAAGAAGCGACAAGTCTTGATGGTGTGTAATTGAAAGAAAACATTTGAAATTCCATCAATCCATCTATTATTGTCGGAGAGCACCTCTCGAGAATACGTGACCTGCATAATAGAAGGTTTCTTTACATTGCACGAGAGTACCAAATGCTGTGTCAATCAGTGTTACATGTAGCGTGAGGTTCCCGCGGACCGAGCCCCGGACGTGACGCGATCAATAGCGGCTCACATAACAGCCTGCAGGTTGTAAACAACACTATTAACAACCTCTCACTAAGAGAGGTGCAAAAACTATCACATGGAATGTCACGATCACGATACTTCGAAACGAGGATTATAATAATATAGTGCGAGGCAAGTGGAACGGAAATGTAATGTTCGAGCTTCTAGCCGACGGTAAGTGGGTTTTGTTAATGTTCATAATTAGCCTAACTTTTGGTATACTTATAACTACTTAACAAGTACTTAAAAATAAATTGAACAAAAACCTTCACTAAGCAAGATACCGTGAAATATCTTACAGTAATTAAATATTTTTTCGAATGATATAAACTGATTAAAACGCGAATAATCACTGGATCACTTTGATTCACTAATTAAAATCACGTATCCGTATCTCACCCGGGAAACGCGGATCGGAAGGCCGCTGGGTAAAGTGCTGGTAAAAAGGCAGGGCCCCAGGGTGGCAGCAGGATGGGGCTCCAGGCCAGCAGGGAGGCCGGCGGCAGCAGCGGCGGCGGTGACCGCGCACTCTCGCCCTCCTCGCACTTCATCTCCCGACCGGGAGAACTCGCTTTCGGGATAATGTTGACGGCTGTAGCTACACTCGCGAGAACACGTGCTGCGCCTTGCGACGCCGCGTCCGCACTAAACAACCCTCGAGTGGTGCTCGGGGTGAAGAACACCCCGCGCCGCCCTCGTGCCTCGACAGCCTACTCAGCTCCGGACTAGCCTCGAGGGTGCTCCACTGACCTCCGCCAATAGCGACGCGCCGCCGACTGGGCGGGATTCCCGTCAGCCAATCGCACAGCAGCCGAAGCCTTCCCAACAAAAAAAAACTGGAGTATACACTTTGAATAGAGGAGCTTTCGACGTAGCGCGTTATGTTATGTCGCTTTTTGTAATGAGTGCGAGCATTAAGCCCATTGTTGAGGCCGGGTTCGTTATGGACGCCGCTCCAAATGCCCGGATAACGATTTTCATTTAGAGTGTTTTAATAAGCCCATGTAAGCTGATGTTAGCAAAATATTTGAAATGATTTTTTGTTACCAACACGTAGTTCATAGTGTATTTAGGGATTTCGTTTACTTATTTGAAATACCTCTTTATTTCATTGTAACTTTTTACAATAGTAGTCAATATTTTTTTAACTTTTGTAGAGTTTTAACACTCTCCTTTTATGATAGTCATATAAAATCTCATATCTGAGCTTTTCCTTGAAATAAAATTTTAAGTTGACAGTATGGATTAAGTTAGCTTTGAACTCTTGTAAGTACCTAAAACTTGGTTTTATAATTATTTAACTCGTCGAGTACCGGTTTTGTAGACACAATTATAGAACAATAGGTTGCGGTCACCGGTGACCGCTTGGTGTTTGACTGTTTAAGTACTGACTACTGATATTCAGTTCTACAACAGAATCTTCTTTAAAAGACTTCAATCCACAATCGGCTTTTGCATAAGTAAGTACGTGACCAACAAACGGTTAGCAAAGCTAAATTCTTTAGAACTTCTTAAACATTAGACGGGTCGCCGACAAATCTCTTGCACATGTTGCAGTTTGCAGTACTTAGCGCATTGAAAGATTTGAAAGTAGACAATAGATAAAGTTCCACTAACAGGTAGAGGACGCCACTGTTATCAGTTTATGACTTGCACGTGTGCGCACCGATTGTTTCCTTCTTCATTCATTACAAAAAGGTTTTTGTTTAAATAGTCACTTACAAACCGAATTGGCGGTACTGGCCACATGTTGGAACTGGAAACTTGAAAAAAGAAAGATTTTTGAATGATATTTTACATAAGCCGAAAAAAATTAAAAGCAATTGTAGAAGATTACTTTGGTACACTATTCGAAAACGTGTTGCGTGTAGACGTGTTGAAATCTAGGTGCACTTTTTAATTCAATAGCTTATGACCGGGTACCTAAGGTATACAGTACATACGTATGTTCACTTCTTAAGATTATGCTTCCTAAATATACTAGAACAATAAACAGAACTAAGTGCAACCCGAAATTAATCAATCCACATTTTTTTGTTTAATTAAACTGTCAAACACCAAGCGGTCACCGGTGACCGCAACCTATTGTTGTTCTATAATTGTGTCTATAATGACGGTACTCGACGAGTTAATCTATATATAATTTTTTTTTTACTTTTTACCGAAAACCACGAACGGGGACGGGAAAAAATGGGATTACGCGTACGAAGTCGCGGGCAGAAGCTAGTTAGGAAATAAATAATTTAGGAAAAATCTACTTAAGAGGTATGGAGATTGCATATATCAATACAAATTAAAAATAGAAAAAATATGAAATCAATGTGATATATCCGACGGATTTTTTTATACTATGTTGTATTAGGTATGTTCATGTAGTTTCTTGAATTATTTTGAATAAAAAATTGCAAACGATAATTTCAATTAAATTCTTTGTTATTATGAGCCAAATATGAATCAATATTACAAATCCCATGTTATCATCGAAAAGCACCCAATAATAATTTTGTTTGATCGAACGGTAACAGAATCGAAACTATTACATGGATCGGGCATGCAGTACCTAAGTACCATAGTAATACATATTATACTTGTTAAACAAAATTAAATATGTAACAAGATTCCAAACCGAAAATTAAATTAGCTGTCAAGTTAGCGTAATAGCTGGGTAACTATTTCCTGCGCAATGTACTACTTGGTTCGTCTACCGGACCATTTTTTTAAGGGGGGAAAATCATCGTATATCTTCTCCTGCCTAGGTGAGGCGGGAGGGAGTGTCAGGCTCTTACTGACTAAAAACCACCCCGTTCCTACTCCTGCGCTTCGAGCCGGAACCCAGGCAACCCCTTAAGTCCTCCGCGGCTCCGTATCAACGCTATTGGGCCCCATCCGTGATGGTCTGATGGTTCTTTGAGGCGCGCGCGGAACGCGACGAGCCGTACGCGTCTCCCGCACCTTACGACTCTTTCTGTGATACACAAATTGTTTTTCCGGGTCTGAATGTGTTATATGTTTTAAACGCACCTACGATATTAGATATACTGAATCCGCATCTATCAAAAGGAAACTAACATTAAGGCCCTCAAAGACGGATGGGTAATAAATTTTATGAATAATGGCAATTTATTTTAAAGATGTGCCATTTGGAACTAAGAAGAACAATGGCGCCTATTTGTGAAATATACCATTTTATTCAAGCTTTGTCTTCACATGCAAGCTCCACCTACGAAATTATTAGTTAAATTGTAACTTTGATAACAACAAAAGTAGCTGTTTTTATTGATTATATTGTACCTAAATTCAGTTTAGGTATCAAGTGGTTATATGATTATTGTCCTGAAATAATTGTTGACATTTATACCCAGATTCGGAAATCATCGATGGTGATGCTAATACTAACAGGTAAGCTTTGATTATTCTTTTATTTGTATTTAATCCAAAAGTCATTAGACCGAATTAAAAACTGCAACTAAAAAGACTTTAAAATCTGAGTTCTTTAATTACTTACATTTTATCAATAAATATTACAAAATAAAAAATTATCTTCAGTAAAAGAAATACAATATTTTAAGAAGCCGAACGGAATGGGGCTTCATTTACAGGTACGCAAAAGAGGATTACGGTGAAGGTGACACAATGAAATCTTATCTTTGTTGTTTAACAGTTTAACACTCATTGTTTAAATAAGTAACTTAATACCAAACATCTGTTTCTGACCTTTAAAGTGTTAAACTTTAACTTGTACAAGTAACATTACAATAGACTTATTACCTACTGTGAGTAATATTACTTTATGCAATCACTTCTCTGCCCATCCATTTTAATCTAAACCTAAAATATCTCGTTTCTTTAATGTCTAAATTGTTTTATTAGGCATAGTTGCACATACATAATAGTAAATTGTGGTTGTTACTGAATCTTAACCATATTCGGCTGAATGTTATAACTTAGTAATACGTTCATGTAGGAGCCTGGACTGTGGCCTAAAGATCAATGGGCCGCCGGCCGGCTTGACCGGAGCAACACCACGGAACACTGGCGTGTAACTGATTGCGTTGTATTTTTCTGTGTAAATCAGTATCGGAGGCGTAATACCCTCCTTCGAGCATCGGATGTTTATTACAATGGACATTGTACTATCAAATAATCCGCCCGCTCTATACCCCTTTTTACCACAAAAAAGGTAATTATTTACATGAATCGACTTCCATCTACCAGCTACTTTTTAATCGGTTAGATTCTGTAAACAGCTCCACATTTTGCATTATAACATTCGTGAGACATACTAAATAAATTATTATGTTTTCGGCTTACTCGGCGACTATTGTGCTGCTCATCGCAGGTCGCAAAATGCTGCTCATAAATATGAGCCTCTAGCATGTCTTGAAACTAGTCAAATAATTACGTGAGTAGGCTGAAAACATAATAATTTAGCTCCACATTTTGCATGAAGCTTATGTCAAAATCTATCTCCAGTTATCAAAACGAACCGATGATTTATTAGTTTATTAAACGCCACGGGAGTCACCTGTGACAGATGTTAACGAAGGATTTGCCTTCAACAGTTTTCTAATGGCAAATTCAAAGGCTTAAAACTGGTCATAATAACATGTTAAATTGCTACCGCGTAGCACGTAGCGCGTAGCCCGTAGTAGGTAAGTTTAACTAAGTGGAAATTAAACCCTACTTTGTTGTCAATGCACATATTGCACATCTATGAGTAAAATACGTTTAGTAATGGTCAATATAGACGTATTGAAATGCAATAAGTTACTGAAATAAAAGTTTTATTACCTTTTTTATTTTAAGAATAATAATAGCTCCCAAAGTTTCCATACCAATAAGAAAACATCAATATCCCACATTCTAGTCTATACTAAACACATTCTCATTGGAATAAACCCATTGGTATTTTTTATATACAATAAAAAATACCAATTTTATCCAATAAGTCTAAACAGACCAACCTAGAAAGTTGAACGTAATGAAATAATTTTCTTATTAGACGAACCGCTTTAAGCATTTTGTACCTAACCCATCTAAGGTATCGTAGGCAATTAACGCCCGCTTAATTTCAAATCAATATAATATTTAATGAAACAATTTAATTAAAAAACCGTTTAGAGAAATAGTTTTATTGTGAAGAAATAAACATAGAAAACTAACACTCAAGTGCTATAAGTCGTATAAAATTATGCAAACAAAGAATTCTTGAATACCCTGTCATGGGCGATATTGAACATACAGTTTTTAGTAACGCCCAAATATTATTTAACGAATTATCTCAATAAACATTAAAATTTCGACTTAGAGCCGTATAAAACCAAAAAGTAAATTATATTGACTTTTTTTATAAAGCACCACAATAGTCATAATTGAATTACAAATACGCCAATATTTAAATTTAGTAACTCGTCTAACACTTCTTGTATTTTCTACGTAATCATCTTTAACAAAAATATCTTACTTCTAACATGTTTTAAAACTATAGAAAATCAACATTTATGGGAGTTTTCATAAAAATATTAATTATCATGAAATGCTTATTGGGCGCTATTAAACGTAGATGGCTAATGACGCCCCAGTACAGCGCTTCAAATAACGCCCTGAAATAAAGTACAAAACTTAAACATTAATGAGATCAGTAATCAAATAATAAAACATCAGAATTAAAATATCCTAAGAACTACTCTGAGTGACTATCAATAATCAGTCTTACAGTGCTACCGGTAATCAGTCTTACAATGTACTGGAATTTAAAACTTTTTATATTTATTCACAACTTGAACAAATGAAGTCTTCATCATCTTTCGAGAGGCCCACACACTCCTCATGGTACCACTTCATGCACAATTTACATTGTCTCATGTCCAATTTCGTATTTTCATGGCATGCATAGCAATACCATTCTTCTGTATCGTCTTCTTTTTCATTAATTCTCTTTTTATTTTGTGTCTTCTTTTTTGTTTTTATTACTCTATTTTTAATCTTATCCTTCTTGTTCTTCTCATTTTTTTTGGTTTTGGTTTTCTTTGTTTTCTTTTTACGTTCATCTTTTTTGTTAAAGAGGTCTTTAGTAATACGTTGACCTTTATAATTGATAGCTTTCTTTCGTGGACGGTTTGTTTTAGTTACAGCGTAATTAGGAGTAGGTAAAAATTTTTCAAATTCTGTTTTGTTATTTGGTTTCTTCAAATTTAACAACGGTACATCATCTTCATCTGAAAAACAGTACTCATCATCATTAGGTTTTGCTTCTTTTATTTGCTTTTTAGGCGTTGTCTCTCCTTTATTTATAATACCTAAATTTTCATTTTCTTCATCTGTTGATGAATAACCATAGACGTCTTCAACTGAATATTTAAAGTTATTATGTGATAGCTTGTTTATGAAATCATCTATGTCAGATGAATCAGAGCTGTAATTTCGGCGTATAGGTCTTTGCAGACCTGAACAACTCGGAACTGCCATATCAATGTCATTATAGCTTTCTTTATTTGTAGGCGTTTCAGGAACCACACATACATTTTCAGAAATTATGGATGGTGAAGCACATAAGCTATGGTCTGAATCATGCAGTGTAGAATTATGAGGAGCTTGTTCCAATTCAGTTTCAGAAAAATCAGTAGATGAGCTATAATCAACAATACGTGGAATGTTTGTTTCCCTTAATTCTGAAGTAGACGGTAGATAATTCTGCATATTTTGATACTGTTCAGAAGAAATCTCTCTTCTAGGCATCACATTTAGGTCGTTGCCAGAATCAACATCAAAATCATCAGGAGTCGAGACCCGTATGTTCGATGGGTTTACATGGAAATTAGGCTGATTTTCATCAGAGTCAGTATCAGTATTAGCATCAGGTTTCTCCACTTGTTTATTTTGATTTTGAGGACATGGAATTTCAGATAAAACTGATGGAGCAAATGCTTCTTCAGGGATTGCTTCAGGATTATAGGGGTAAAGACCTGTAGCTTTGAACCCATTCACTATATTAGTATGTGTCATGCATTTGGGCCACACTTGAGAAAATATTTTATTAAAATCGGCTTTGTTCAATGTCCTATTAACGTTGACTGACAAAAAATTCAAGACAGCTTCATCCCAGTGATGTTCAAAGGATTTATTTACCGATTTGTCCAACGGTTGCAATTCGTGAGTTGTATTTGACGGGAGGCAGTAGAGAACTATATCATTTTTATCAGCTTCATCTAGCGCCTCGACTGATAGATGGCACTTTGCTCCATCAAAAATTAATAAACATTTATCAGCGACTTTATGTTTTGCCAGGTGCTGAATAAATTCCACAAATAAATCTGAAGTCATACTTCCCTTCTGTGCCATTCTAACTAATGTTCCAGCTGGTAGATTTTCTGTTAGATCTGGTCTGTTTCTTTGCCCTTTAAAAATTATCATAGCTGGAATCGCCGTACCTATAGCATTCACACACATCGCTATCGTCACGTTCTCTGCATGCTCCGGAGCAATGAGGTGAACTCTTTTGCTCCCTTTTGCTGCCAAAACTGTATGCTGTTTATGCACAGTTATTCGACATCCTTTCTCGTCCATGTTATATAACCTTTCTGGGTGTCGCAGTATATCTAACTCGTCATACAATTTACGGATACTTTGAAAATGTTGTTCAACAATAGGTTTATTTAATTTTTGTGCACGCGCTGGATTCATCATTTGCGGCTTACGTTTACTAATGGATGGATTTCTTTTTAAAAATTGTCTCAACCAGTCTACACCAGCAATTCTTTTGGAACTATTGAAATTATTTTTGATGTCATGCCTCTCGCAAAATAAGAAAGCTTGTTTTCTAATGAATTTAGGAGTTAGTGGAATCCCAATGCTTGCAAATCTTTTTATCCGAGAAGCTAAATCTCTTTCTTGATTCATCGTCAAAATAGGCTTTCTCCCCAAACGTTTAATTTCTTCACCAGTTTTTAAGTGATCTCTCAAAGTTCTTCGCGGAATATTATATCTTTCTGCTGCTGATCGCTGAGTCAAATGTCCTCTTTGCACGGCATTAATGGCAGCTTTCATTGTTTCTTCAGACCATGACTCCCCTCTTTTCTTACGTGTGGGATTAGATGGAGCCATTTTCCCGATCTGTAAAAAGCAGATGAATATGACACACAAATTTTGGCCATGTATAAATACGCCCACAATATGGATAATAACGCCCAAACCTCATTTTACTGGGCGTTTTTACCCGAATAGTACCGTCTACTATTTTCATATTTTCACACATAATTACAAACAGATCAATTAAATCTTCAGTGAAATATGAAATAAAGGTATCTAAAATAAAAACTGATCACAAAATTAACAACAAATAGGTTAAAGATAAAGATAAAGATAGTTTATTTGCAAATATGGGTAATACAATATGTGGTGTTTAGGTACATTGCGAGCTCAACCATATTTTACCAGGAGGCATGCAAATATGAATTAACAGATAATTAAAAGAATAAAATTATATAAAATAAAATCAATATTATGCAATGTACTTATTAAATTGATTACAGAAATTAAAATAGTCGCATTAACAAAATATAGGTACGATGTCAAAAGATTAAAGTTAAGAAATGTCATAGTAAAATAGATGAGATGTCCAAGTTATTTAGTACCTATTTAAAATATTATTCTATTCCATTGTCCATTAGAAAATCTGCAACATTGTAATATGCCTTGTCAACTAATAATTTTCTCAATTTGTTTTTTAATATTGACATACTCAAATTTCTCCAGGATTTAGGTAATTTATTAAAGATTTTAGGTGCCATGCAACAGACACTTTTGCCCATTAGTGTTGTCTTCGCTCTTTGAAGACATAGTTGACTATCGTCTCGTCTACTTCGTGCTACTACGTCGTTCATTTTCTTAAAATAATGTGGATTTGACTTGACAAACATAGCCATTTCCATTATATAAATACACGGTAATGTTAAAATGTTAAGTTCTTTAAAATACGGGTAACAACTATCAGTAGTGTTTAGTTTATACATTGACCGAATGCACCTTTTTTGGGCCTTGAATGCCATATCTTTGTCGGTTGAATTACCCCAGAATATAACCCCGTAACGAAGATGGGATTCAGCTAAACCGTAGTAGGCGGTAAGAAGCGCTTCCTTAGAAACCTTCAACGATAATGCATGTAAGGCATATGCGGATTTACTTAGTTTCTTGCAAACCTTGACTACATGTGATTTCCAGTTCAGATTTTGATCTATTTCCAAACCCAAAAATTTAGTGCTTGCAACTTTATCCACTACTTTATTGTTATAATTCACGTTGAGGTTTTTACTGGGTATTCTTTGGCTAAAATGCATTACGCTTGTTTTTGTTAGATTAATTTTTAAGTTATTGTTATTTAACCATGTTATGACTGTCGCTAGAGCATTATTAATATCATTTTCATATAATTTAGGATCAATGCAGGGTATAGTTATGGTACTATCGTCGGCAAACAGAGTTAATGGTTGACCAGCGTGTTTCGGAAGGTCATTTATATACAATATAAAAAGTAACGGCCCCAGAACGCTCCCCTGTGGTACTCCGTATCTAACTTCACGTTTAGACGACCAAAAAGTTTCTTCGTAATTATTTTCATTCATTCTACATATTTCAGTTATTTGTTTTCTGTTACGTAAATAAGATTCTATTAAGCTTAGAGTGTTCCCTCTAATACCATAGGCTTCAAGTTTATTCACGAGTGTATCAAAGTGTACATAATCAAACGCTTGTGTCATGTCGCAGTAAATGGCACATACCGGTTTACGTTCATCAACATGCTTTATGACATAAAAGAAGGGTAAAGAACATGATTCCCCGTGAAAGCGCAGCAATAACAAAGAGCAATTATTTATATTGAAGCGGACCCCTAAGTGGCGTGCAGCTCACGAAATGTTTAATTGACTTATTGAGAATGAGTTTTTAAATCTATCGTTACAATCGGGTGCGCGCTCATCGCTACATGTGAGTGTAGTATAGAGTAAACTTGAAGATGGCTTTATTTTTTAGTAATTTAATTAGTTTTTTTTTATGGAATAGGAGGCAAACGAGCAGGCGAATCACCTGATGGTAAGCGATCAGCGCTGCCCATGGACACCCGCTACACTTGAGAAGTCACAGGTGCTTTGCCAGCCTTGAAAAGGAATACGTTCTTTTCTTGAAGGTTTGAAGGACGTATCGATTCGGAAATATTGCTGAAGATAGATTATTCTACAGTTTAGCTGTGCGAGGCAGTAAGTTCCGGGAAAAACACACAGTCGTGCATAACAGTTACAATTTTAAAACAAAAGTTGAAGCTGCTATCTTTTTTCTCTATAGAGAGCATTATTTTGATAGTATAATGGAATCAAAATAATGGATTACCATGGACAATCATGGACCATGTCTATCTGGCAAAGATAGTTCCAGACTCCACCTAGCATCTAACGTAGACATTCTATTTTAAAACTACACAGATACAACACTAGTTAGCTACAAAATGACATTATTAAGTAACAATACAGCTAAAATTATTTCTGAATAGTTGCCAGTCGGTGAGAGGAAAACTGTCGCCGCAACACCTACGCGAGCGACAACAAAATAGTGACCGAGGCATTGATTTGCATAAATACTAAAGATTGTAAGATTCTCCCAAATGCTATGAATCTTCTTCTTGTTATTCCGAAATCTATCTAAATGCCTCATTTGCCAAATGGTCGCAAGTGCGACTGCCGGGCAAGGGGTCTCGGGTTCGATTCCCGGGTCGGGCAAAGTATTACTGGGTTTTTATAAATTCTCAGTAGTAGAACGGAGTCTGATATTGTTCTCGGTATATATGGCAATGGCTCATCCCCTATTACATGGGACTCATAACGTAAATAATGAAAAGTGGGTGCTACATTGTACAGTGGCATAATGTACACATGCTATCTATATAAATAAAATGAATTTCCTTTCGTTAGTGTCGCTAAAACTCAAATTTGGTCTTGAAATGTTCGTGGCAGTCGAAGGAAGGAAGAAGAAGAAAATTTTTAGGCGGTACGAAGTTTGCTGGGTCAGCTAGTATTTTATAAAAATCTAATTAGATGTCTATTTACTACAATCAAAATCAAATATAGTGATAATCTGTGGTAATGGATATAACCAAAGTCAACCTATAATGTAGTTAAGGAATATAAAGAAAGAAGAAATACTCTAAAGAACTCTTATTAGACTTATGTTGTTTCTATTGGATATCGGAAGCATTATTGCTAGGAGTAAAATATAATGTATACAGATGAAGCTCATCCAGAAAAGAAAATTAAAGCCTAAATAGGTACTGAATGTATTTTCTCGATGATTTTACATATACTACAATGAAGAGGTAAGCTGCGAGGCCAGATTTGTGAGGGGAGGGAGGCAGGTGCAATAGCCCTCTGTTACACGGGTCACTAGCCACTCCGCTTTACTAAAACACATTGTAATCTCCCACCCAACAAATGTTCGCCTACATATTAATCACAATTATAATTTTGAATATAAATAATTGCGTACACCTTATCATTCAATGAAAGGTTACCTCTACCTCTAGTACTAAATAAGTTCAGCGTAATTTATTTGTTGAACGACTTTTCTTGTGTTAAAATAATATCTTTTGAAAATCGTAAATGTTTGCTATTTTATAAACAATTTTAGTATATCTGTTTGAGAGGATTTCAGAACTGGTCAGGTGTACGCAGGCTAAATGTTAGCTTGTAATCTATTTCGCTCCATGTTTGATGAATCATTCATTATTAAAGCCCACTCATCAACTGCGTCTTACATTTCATTAGATTTCTATTTATTGCATCAATCATAGAAATAGTTTCCAATAAGTAAACCCGGATTTAGAACAAATAATACATGGTACAAAATAAATTACTTCGTGGATTAGTCACTGAAAATAAAAAGACGATCGTTTTATATTTGCATCGGTTAATGATAAAATAATGGGGGTTGATAGTAAGCACGATAGAAATGTAATTTGTATAAAAGTAGAATATCGTATTGAGGAGTCGCGCGCTTCGTACCAAGCGCCGACAAGCCCGCGAGAAAAAATTACCTTATGACCAAACTAACCAGCTACCATTACCGGAGTTAAACAGCACAATGTCAACAAATTACACGACAACTTTTGTATAATACCTGACTTTATGAACTGCGAAATGTGGCTACAGAAATGTAAGTTCAAGGGTATTAAGTTCGCATATTACAGTGATAAACATAAATCACCGCATTCGTGACTCGTGACCTACATTAGTCGGTGGAAAAAGAAACAAACGACAGTCGGCAACACGTCAGTCAGCACCTATGATACTTAAAGCGAATTTATGGCTGGAGCAACTCCTTTATCCAAGTTCTACGGCTTTGCGAGTGAATAGAGTAGGTCGATGGTTTCACGAATATTTCGTTATGGCAATCTGGTTAGGCGTACTGAGCCTAAATGGGTGAAAGCACGCTAACCTGCGAAGAGGGTTTCCAAACCAATTAAGGGCTCCACGAAGGCATGGGAGAGTGAGCAGCTGGTGGATTACGAGCTCGATGGTACTCAGTGCGCCGATTCATCGCCGACGGGACTATAAGTGTGCGGCACGCGAACCGTAACCGATCGACCGAAACGTTGTTCCGAGCCATACACTAAATGTTACAATGTGCATGACATGCTCGGTATAGCTAAGCTTTGCTGTTAGATTTGTTATACTACAGAAATAGTAGCAGGAGATGCATATTGGTTCCTGGACAAAACTGACAAAAACCAAGAAGTAAATGGTACATACATCAGTGCTAATGTAAGCTTATCCTGCTTCTTCAAACTTTTTCCTTAAATGGAGTACACACACCCATATTGTGTGTAATGTATATCAAAATAAATGATTCACCTGTTATTATGAAACATGGATATCTATTTAAGTACGCACAGAAGTCTATACGGTAGTGATACGTAACTGTCTTGTCTATTCCGGGAATTTATTCATAAAGGTAGGGCACAGGTCGTATTAGTGGACAATGTAAAGTAGAGGGATGATTTATTTTATTTCTCTACCCAATATATGGTGAGAGGAAATGAATAATATCACACTGATAATAGATAAAATGTTGACACCAAGCGACATTTTGGCAAAACAATAACAATAATATCCTCACAATTTTACCTAAAGCAGCAAAATCACGAAAACAAACGTTTCACTCTAATATGACTTCGTATAGAAAATTCGTTTCAATAAAGAAAATAACATGAATATCATGATGGAAGATATAAAGTTGTTTGAGCGCGCTCGTAGTCAATTTCAGTGTACTCAGTCAAATTCTTCCGCAAGACATTTTTCAACGACATTGTCGGGATCGCGTGATGTCTTGCAATGCACTTCGTTTTCGTAAATGCATGCACGTTGGTAAGAGACTGGTTGAAACATCGCCCTTACTATATTTACTGACAGAATGCTAGCTAGACATAGATGTATATAGTATACTTATGAAGATATCTATGTATGTCTCTTTACCTAGTAAGTCGTACTTGAGACGTACTTATTACGTTGCGGGGAGTCCCATTATTGTACCTTTCTAAATGTAAGAAATTCTATTTTCAATAAAAAAACAATCACTCAATAAAATAATGACTAAATAATATTAAATTTAGTACTCACGCATAAGAATTGTATTTGTAGTCTTCTTCTATGGGTGGCTGACGCACTTGATACCCCAGGTCAGCGCCATAGTCCGGCGGTATGATGGACCAGTTGTTATCATAGTTGCTATAATAGTCGCCATACACCATCTCGCCTTCACCCATCATTCTCATCATACACTAACAACGTCCACGATATACAAACTAATTCTACACTAAACACAAATTAAAGTTAAATTCTCAAATCACAGCAGATAAGCGAATTTCATAACAAAAGCTTAATTATTCTATAGATTAAGTATGATTAGTGCGGACGCGAGCCATGTAGGGACTGCGAGCTATCGACTGATCGATGCTTCACCGGTCCTTATCAATAAAATTGTATCGTTATCATATCTAACAGCTTTCCCCTGCGATATGGGACTTTTATAATAGGTACGCACACTACGACAAGTCACATCGCCCGCCGATGTGGGTACGTGTAAGATATTATATTATCTGTGTCAGATGTAATGTGCGAGCGAAACGTGCCACTGTCACCGGTTGTGTTATGAAATCCTGGAATGACAGGTGACGAACTAAGTCTTGATAAATAGCCACGAAATGATGGCTTATCTCACCTTGTAGTATGGCGCCCGTACTTGCATGCTCATATACACATTTTATATGGAATAGATATAACTATCTATTACTGTTCGCTGATATTTCTAGAGGTACAAAGTAACTACGAAAAAGCACTACTCGGTCTTTAAAATGTTCGCGTTGAACATTTCCTATGGATAAATAATACGTCAGAGCAATGATTCGTATCCCGTTAACGTTTCGGAGTCGCGGAGAACCTAACGGGTAACCGGGGCTCCGGCTCGACGTGCAGGAGAAGGAACGGGGTGGTTTTTAGTCAGTAAGAGTCTGACACTCCCTCCCGCCTCACCCAGACGGGAGCAGTCATTCGATGATTTTCCCCCATTATAACTCGTCGAGTACCGCTTTTGTAGACACAATTATAGAACAATAGGTTGCGGTCACCGGTGACCGCTTGATGTTTGACAGTTTAAAAAAAAAATCCCGTTAACGTTTTCCTATACACCTACCCACTACCTATTTAATAAATCAGAGCAAAGCACAAGTAAGGTAGACAACCTTTGTGCGTAAGTATGTTAATTATTCAAACACGATATGGTTCCGTAAAACAATATTTAAGTATTCTTAGAACGTTTCACGTGACCTTCACTTCACATAAATTACCCCAGAAAATGTAAACTTGAAGAAAATTTATAAAAAAGCATTAATATTTACTTAAAACTCCAATATTATACGAAACAATAATAAAATAACCACAAAAAGTCAATAAACATGCTTATTGACAGGTTAAAATTGTTACAAAAGCTACGAAAGTACAATTGCTACGACAATATGTGTAAACATTTTCCAAATTAACAATGTAACAAAAAGGTTGTTGTGTACCTCTGGTGGGACTCGAACCCACAATCCTCGGCTTAGGAGGCCGATGCCTTATCCATTGGGCCACAGAGGCTACCGGCAGACCGACGCGAGTAGCCGCACCCGTTCTACGGCGCCGACGACGTCGTTGCGTCACCGCGCGTCATAGCGGGCGCGTGCGATCACACACACATACCTACACCCGTGATTATTTAATACATTACTCATACATACATAATAATTAATGTCAATTCAAACAATAAGTTCAATGTCACTTGATCTAAAGCAGAACGAGTTTGCTTCTCGTAAATATTAGATCCCAATAGTCGATGGTTCCGGATTGTACACAAGGTAGGTACCAATCTATTTTTATCATTAGTAGGTATCTTACGCTGTGGTGTTACGATTAATTTTAGGTGACGTCACGGTGGAATTCCATTTTTTACAACTTGATTGCTGCCAAAGCCGTAGACACCAATCTACCTTCTATTTGTTTATGTGCGAACAATACCAATGCCTGTCACATTCAGACATTTAAAACTAAAATATATTACAAGTCATTTAATAAATGAATAACAAAATGAGTTCAAAATGTAATCTCTAATCTGCTCTCAATAATTACTCTTATCTATAAAACGTATAATTTGTGACGAACCTACATAGTGTTTAATATTTATTTACGTTTTTGAGTGATAAAAATAATCAGTCAAACCTTTATTTTTGTTTAATATCAAATTGACTTAACGATTGATTGTAGAATTACCTACAATAATTAATGTTATCAGAACTAGGTATAGGCGACACACCGCACATCAAGCTAACCGACACTGTCAAATATTCCCAATAAATTTTCAACTTTAGAACAAAGAGTTTAAGTTGATAATCTGAATCTAAAAAGATTTTGCTCGATTTCGTCACATAGTTTGTCAACGTTTCACGTTTTCTAACGAGTTGGTACCCTTGTGTATCTAAATTTAGCAACATGTCTATCAACAGTAAGTATGCTAGTTCGATAAACGAAGCATAGACATAGAGTTCAGTTTCTTCTAACTAATCATAAATTACTAGACTTTAGTAAATTGTTGTCTAGCTGTACAAAAGTAGATCAAGGTTTTGTTCTAAACGCAAATTGGAATCTCTTATGAAGTCAGTTTTTAAAACGATTTCTATTCAATCTCTGTATTCGCACTGAGTCTGAGTTTGTGTCTAGTGTATTGCAATAAACTCACTCCGTATTATATGGGACTCATTAACATAACATCGCGTTCTTGAATCCATTTAGGGTTTAAGGACATAGGCAGAGGAGGTCATCATCAACATTCGTAACAGTTCACTTCTGTTTGACTACGGGATCATGTTTTGTAAGGGACTGAAATTAGACAAGTATAAAAAAATGTGTTATAATTTATTTTTGTAGTAGATAATGTATTACAATGTTTTATAAAAGCTATTGTTTACAAACAAGCTCCTACTCTCTATTTTATAAAATAACTAAATTAATTAAAGCTTATAATAGATGTTCAATTTGGTATTTGTCTTACGTATAAATCTTTGGTATCACCTAACTATTAACTGGATTACATTTATATTATATCATTACAATTAAGAAATTATTTCCAATTGATCGACAGTCACGTCTACCATCAATAAAATAATGGACTGAAAACAAAATTTTAAACTTCTTTATTACGTCTATGGTACTGAAACATCATTATTATTGGTGGTAAATGTAAACAAAATATTGCACAACTCTACACTATTGTATTAAACTATCGCGGGGCATCAAATTAATAATATTGTATGGCTATGGGCCCCAAGCGTGGCTGAAAATTAGTCGAGTTACCTCGACGAACAGTTACGTGAACAAATTATACGACACAATAGGGGCCACTGTATGTTTTCTCACAAGATGGCACTAGTGTAACCTTCTCGTTTTTTGTCTTTATAGAGAATAAGCTTTTTTTAAGGGGGGAAAATCATCGAATGACTGGTCCCATGTGGGTGAGGCCGGAGGGAGTGCCAGACTCTTACTGACTAAAAACCACCCCGTTCCTTCTCCTGCACGTCGAGCCGGAGCCCCGGTTACCCGTTAGGTTCTCCGCGACTTTTTATTATTTGTATATAATATAGAAGAGAATTAGCTAGTGGCACATCATCTGACATATTTTAATATTTGAGAGCTGCAGGATTGGATAAAAATCTGTTGCTACATTAGCGCTAACTGGTAACCAAAAGTACGGTAGCCAACATTAATTTACTACACATGACATTACCTACGTACTTTTCTATAAACTAGGTGAATTATCTAAGTTTACAATGAAAATGAACTATAACACCGTTAGGGTATCTGACTAGGGCGGTTTGGTTACCGAAGTGCTTCTTGCACACAGGACACGCGTCACTGTCTGTGATCAGCGACCCCTGTGACTCGTAGTACTGGTTCATATCTTCGATCTGTAATGGACAAGAAAAAAAAACGTTTAGTTTACATTTTGAGACAATCGTTATTCTGAGAAAAAGGATTTTTAAGAGAGGGGAGAATCATGAAAATCATCGAATGACTGCTCCCGCCTGGGTGAGGCGGGAGGGAGTGTCAGACTCTTACTGACTGAAAACCATCCCGTTCCTTCTCCTGTGCTTCGAGCCGGAGGCCTGGTAACCCGTTAGGTTCACTGGCTAAAGCTATTGGGGTAGTTTTAGTAAACAAGACCACAACGGTTCTGCTCCTGTTTCGTGTTGGAACCCCAGTAATCCGGTTTGGTAATCCGCAGAGCCGGTCGAGCCAATAAGCAGGTTACGAATTGATATTACCCTGCTCATCAAAGTAACCTTCACTTACAACGTCTTCATAAGACTCGAGACTAAATATGATCACCTGTTCATGTTCAGCCTGTGACAGTCCTTTAACAATCTGCACCTGACGGGCCAAAGCAAACTGACTCTCCAGAACATTCTCTAATATTTTTTTCAAACGACACAGAGGCACTGAGTCTGGCAACACCGATAGGACCTGGAAATCAACATTGAATTTGACTTACATACATCAGTCATGTCGATTATTTATCAAAAGACTCAAGAATTACTGGGATTTAAATATTAAAAATATTACTCAAATCCAAATGAAACTTACACCCAATGGTGACACTTCGTCAACATGATCCTCCAGTATATCGAGTGCCCGCTCTAAGTTTGGAACAGATGTCTTCGGATGCATCGTCGCATTAGCCAACAGCTTACTGATACTTTCGCGCGCACTCTCTTTTTCAGGGTTAATGAGGATGCGCATTAATATGACATAAACGTCTTGGCTTTTGTTTCTTGGATCTGTACTGGAATTTTCGCAGTGTCGCACCGCTTTATCTACATCCCCTATAGACAGACGTACAAAATCTTTATTACTATTCCAATTACCAATAGATACATCAATGTGACTGCCTCGTTGGCCCAATGTTCGCAAGTGCGACTGCCAGGCAAGGGGTCCCGGGTTCGATTCCCGAGTCGGGCAAAGTATTACTGGGTTTTTTAAAAATCTGGAGTCTGGAATTGTGCCCGGTATATGGCAATAGGCTCACCCTCTAATACATGGGACTCACAACATATAGTGAAAAGTGGGTGTTACAGTGGCATAATGTACACCTCTGCCTACCCCTTCGAGGATCAAAGGCGTGATGTTATATTATATATCAATGAATTCTCTATAGGTACTTACCTAATATTAGTACGTAAATAGCGAGTGCCAGCTCATGTAGTCCTAATTTTCCGTAAATGATGGCTCTTTCCTCGAACAAGCTATCGACCGGGAAGTGCACCAGAACTCTTTCGGGCATGTAATGGCCGGATTTTTCTAAAAACGCAATAAGTTTGGACTTGATGTGCTGCACCTCTGCGTCAGTCAGGTTTGCCTTCTTGTCCGTAATCTTGTCTCGGTACATGTTGATGAGCGCGTCGTGGAACAATGAGTCCGTATCGTTCCACGTGAGGATCACGTGCTCTAAGTACGGGATCACAAGGGACTCGTGCTGTCTCAGCAGGAAGTCTAATATCTTCGAACGGGGCAAGTTCTCTATTTCTACTTTATCTTCAATAAATATCTTCAAACCTTCCTCTGGATGATCTTTTAGTACCCAGTCGGAGAATTGGAATATTAAGTTTATGTGTTCAGCACCTGAAACATTTCATTTCTTATTTTTCTTTTCTTTTTTTTGATACTAGAACCAAAATAATAGACAGTATGAGTTATCAAAGAAAGCAAAAAATGCAAGTCACGATCTCGATATTTGGTCTCCTCATTTAGCTCCGAATACCCCAAAGTGGAGAATGACCATGTAATTTTCTGCACGTTGTCGCTGGCTACTGTCCATCTCAAGTTTAATCAACTGGAATGTAGATCACCCCACAAGATCTTATCCAACTGGAATATGCATCACACTAACCAAGTTGCTGCAAATAGTTCACCGTTCTTTGATAGCCAACTAAGCTGGAATCTGTTTGTTTTGCATGGTCTTTTAGCAGCTGCAGCGCTTTCATGTGCTGCCCGTACTTTTGATACAACATAACTAATTCGCTGTATTTCTTATGTTGTAACAATTTCTTGGCTGCTTCTTCCACACAAATATTGTTACTCGTTTGTATTAGATTTGTAACATCAAAATTCACCTGTAAAAAGGAAAATTTAATTTTACAATAGGAAGGGAGTTCACCTCTGGTCTGCTGGTATATGAGACACAGTTAAAATACTGTGCCTAGCATATTTCTATACTCTGGCATTCCAGGGGTTGAAATGTTTTATGGTACGTTGCGTTTAAACTACCATTTCATATTTAACGACAAATGTGCCCGATATATGGCAATAGGGGGTGAACCCCCTATTACATGGGACTTATAACATAAAATGTGAAAAGTGGATGTTACTTCTGGGTGCACCTCTGCGTACCCCTTCGGGGATAAAAGGCATGATGTTATGTGATTAGGTACTTGGAATTATGCTTACCTGTAAGAAGCACTTCAACATAGTAGTTTCAATTAGCTCTCGGTGTTTATTTTCATTGGTCGCTTCATTTTGACCGTCTTTTACTAAATTAGCTTGCACCGCTTTCAAGTATACTATCATGGCCTTCAAGGCACTTTCCAGGTCCTTACCAGACAACTTCTTTACTTTTTCTTTATCATCACTATTTGTTTTACAATCTAAATCAGGAATTAATTTAATGACGTCAGCAATTTCTGTCTTGAGTTTAATGAATTCTTTCATAGCTAGAGAATATTGTTTGTTGTCGAACAGTTCTAATGCGTATAGGCGTCTAATGGAATTGATCCTTTGCTCTTTTTCTTCGCGCGGGCATGTTGGAAGACTCTGTTAAAAAAAATTTTGGTAATGCCAAGAATTTAAAGAATGTGCAACGTCGATTTTTATAGTTTAATATTGACAGATTATTACTATCATACTAACTACGTCCTGAAGATGGTAACTATCATTTTTTATTGTTATAGAGTCACTTAAGGGGCCAGTATAATACCAGCGCAAGGCCCTGTCTTGCACATGCTGAACTGGTCCCATTTCACCGCAGACTTGGGACATTAGTAAATGTATATAAACTTATGTGTAAAATCTGTACGTGACACCTGTTTTTTTAGCGTGTGAAATAAAGTCTTTCTTGCTTTCTTTCTTATAGTTTGGGATTGCTACTACAAAAATGTAGCTAGTTACAACTTACCAGCTGGTTAGTGAATGATGGCCGACGTTAAGTATCAAGACTACTATAATCGAAGTTTGATATTAGATTCAAAAACTACACATTATTTAAGTTACCCCGAAACTTATTGCAGATCGAACTGTGTTGAAGTTATTTAGAATATTTAGTTTGGACAGTAATTACACTTCCTATTAAGATTTAGCATTAACTCCAAAGGATAATATGATTAAATAAACATATAATTAAAACCTACTTAGTAAGCAAAAGCATATAACTAGGCTAGATCATTTACAGTACGTAACTGAAATATAATTTAAATTTAATGTATTTGTGAAACTAATAAAACAATATAGGTAAGTACTTACATTAAGCAGTTTGATCATCTCTGCCTCCCTTTTCTTAATCGCAGTTCGAAACATTTTGTAATATTTTTTGTACTTTCAATTAAAATCATACTTCACACAACACTCCTCTGGTGGGTTGCATTATGTACTGACTAATGATTGGTTTTAACACCGATTTTCCTCTTACCCTATTTAATTAATACATTTTATTTGTGACTTAATTAATATTATGATTAACGGCGTGCATGCATAAACGAACGTACGTATGTCTATGTACTTACGTAAATAAGTACTAACTCGTTACGTTAATTACGTTGTATAGTCACAATCGCAGTGTTTAGTCATTAGTCATTGTAAACTATTTACTGTTGCTTTTAATGTAGACTCTAAACTCTAATTGTGAGATTCTATAATCAGATAATTTTATGACAAAAATAGTCATAATACATTTATATAAATGATACAATAAATGTTCTATAGATATATTTTATTTAAATATTTTACATTAGATATAATTCCAATATTATCACGTAGGTACTATTTAATACAGTGATAAAATATACATACAGTATTGGTTACATTTATATTAAACTCTGTACATTGATTTTTAATATTACTTTCTATTGAAATAGCTGTATACACACATTTAGCTAAACATTTCATATAAGGCGCACAAATATATTACATTTTAGTACATATCTCAATAAAAGCTACTTATTTTTTTTAAATCGAGGCATCTATGCATCATTCGATGGTTTGGGATGATAAAAATATGAAGATTCTTCATTGACAGAAACTCTCTTAAATAGATACATTTGAAAATCAAATCTATGGCTTCTGCATAAAATTGGTTTTTCAAGTCAGCTGCTTCATGACATGAATCCATAATACGTTTTAAATATTAGGAAACAGAGATTAATATTATACTATCGACAAAGTAAGGGTAGTGCACTTTTTAAACAAAATCCTGTGGCAAACTCGCCATCTACGGCCCTGTTTTCCCTATGGTCGCTCGCGCCGAGTGCATGCGAATATCGCCTAATGATAATCGACCGGCAACTTTGTCGATTTTACATACTTTTATACTGATGTTGTATATCTTGGGTTTTTTTTTATTATATCAATGTCATTTTCACATCATGATTAATGTTTCAGCTATTGACAACTATTTTTTTATGTATTTCCCATTCTATCAAAATGACTGATGGATGAAATTATTTTTCCTCTCAAAATATTTAGTTACAAGTAAACATTAAGCGGATAAACCAATTAATTCAATAGTCGTCGATCATTGAGAATAATAGGAACTATTTATTAGCAATGACTTAAGTTAAAATTGAACGTTGTTACAAGAAACTGTTTCTAAACATTATTTCTGTTTAAAATTTCGCGAGACATATAAATTATAATATTAATATATAATGTAATATTAATTTCATTTACTATGTTTCACGGGGATGCTCGACTAGTTTCGAGCGAACCGGGTCTCATGTAATAAAGCGGGCCGGCCGGCAGCCGAGGATGTACGTAAGATGTACAATATACAATTTCATTCTGAAATTACCATCACAAGCACGATTGGTTCAGTACTCCTAAGAAACATAGCTCACCAGTATTTGATAAGTTATTTTACATTCAAATACCTAACAAGCATCAACTTGGCGTACTTGTGCAAACATTTGCCGACACTATTTAAAACATACTTTAACAGCATATCATAAAGTATATTTTGCCTAAAACTTAGCTTCTTCTTATTATTGTAATACGTGTCTAGGACAAGAGCAAAACGGGTCCATTTTGTATTGCTTGAAACTTAGCTTCTTACACAAAAAATGGTTCACACAATAAGAAGGAACTTAACGCTTTTCGACTTAACCTCGTCAAAAATTTGTGAGTTCTGAGAAAATAATGTATTATTTTATTGCAATTTTAGCGATTTATAAAAACAAATACCGCAGAAACAGAAAGAAATTTGCGTCCCGGAATTTATTCCATGGACAACGGGCCACGTAATTATAAAAAGGGGCAGTCCAGTTCAAAATAGGACGTCTGGTCACCTTACACATGAAGTATATCATACGAGATCAAATTTTAAACATCTAGGTGCTTACCTACTCTTGAAACCAATCTCAATGTCAATGCAATCTCACTATACAACCCCTATTGTACCTGTTAAAATAGCATTCAGAGTACGGAATATAAAACCAAACTCAATACCATTTGGTAAATTTCCACGCAATACGGATGCAATGGCCGCTAGTGTTGCAACGCGAGAGTACGAAATTTCACAATACCAATGTCGATCGACCGGAATTGGATTCAAGAGTGAGCCCCCTGATAATACAAGTACTTCAGTCAAAAATTACTTCACCGTTGCCTATTTAACCGTAATTAGTTCGTATGCTACAGCTTAGTTTGACAAATACGCCAGCGTTGAATGCTAGAATATTTTATATACCTACGATATAGGATAGGACTAGTACTACTTGTCAAGTCTACAATTGAAATGAACTATGTCACCGTTGGGGTATCTGACGAAGGCGCTCTGGTTCCCGAAGCGTTTCTTACACACCGGACACACGTTGTAATCGTTTATAACTACGCTCTTAGATTCGTGGAACTGTTTTACTTCTTGTACCTGTAAAAATAGGAGTGGAATTAAATGTCTATTTATTCATCAAGATATACATGTATCTCAAAATTCAACGTAATAATTTCACTAAGTGATATGAGAGTTTTGGGAAACGTAAAGAAATAATTTCATTTGTCACTCTTCGTGCCATTTTCAATAAATATGATATTTTTTATTTTAATATTTATGTTCTTTTTTTCATTGATGACCGGAATTGTGCTGCCATCCACGCATCCACAGCAATACCCCTACTAGTATGACAATATTTTTAAACTTACCTGCATATGTTCCGCATACAGTAAACCTTTGAGAACTTGCATGCGTCGCTTCAACGTAAGCTGTCCATCTAGAGCGCTCTCTAGGAAGTGCTTCAAACGACTTAGTGGCACCGAGTCTGGTAACACCGATAGAGCCTGCAAGTTAATAGATTAATTATAATAAAATATTTAGTGAAACTGGAAAGATATGCGTGGGTAGATTTTAAAGAACTTCAGCTGGTATTTGGTGTGAAATTAACCGTGAGAAATGAAGAAATCTCTTATGGCATTTCCACTTGGAGCTTGGGTCGCTGTTTTTTGTAAATTAAGAAAATAAGTTGATAAGTTAAAAGGCAACACATGAAGTTAGGGACGATAATAAGCGATTGCAATTGCAATATAATATTACTGTTGATTCTTCTTTTTCTCGGAGCATGATGACTAAGAATTTTACAACCAAATATATTTTGCGCAAAGCTCTTTGCTCAGAAATTGCGCTTGACAGTCGACTTGCGATTTTGTGTATAATTGTAATGTTTTATGGAGCATTACTGGTATATAAATCAAATACATCACTTTCCACTACACTTACTTTTAAAGGCGAAATTTTGTCGGCATGTTTCTCCAGTATATCGAGAGCTGTCTCCAGATCTGGGACGGAGGTCTTCGGGTGTCTTGGAACTTTGGCTAACGGATTCTCTTTGAGCGCACTGTCTTGTTGAGGATTCATGAGTATACGCATTAGAATGACGTAAACATCTTGATTCTTATCGTTTGGAGTCGCGCTAACATTTTCACAGTATCTTATTGCTCTATCTACATCTCCTGTAAGTAAAACAGCAAATTTAGAAGTATTATTATTACTTATTCTCACAAGAACTTTTCAAGGTCAATGCTTACCTAATATTAATACGTAAATGGCGAGTGCCTGCTCATGGCGTCCTAATTTTCCGTAAATGATAGCTCTTTCCTCAAACAAGCTATCGACCGGAAAGTGCACCAGAACTCTCTCGGGCGTGTAATGCGCAGATTTTTCTAGAAACGCAATAAGTTTGGACTTGATGTGCTGCACCTCTGCGTCAGTCAGGTTTGCCTTCTTGTCCGTGATCTTGTCTCGGTACATGTTGATGAGCGCGTCGTGGAACAATGAGTTCGTATCGTTCCACGTGTGGATCACGTGCTCTAAGTACGGGATCACAAGGGACTCGTGTTCTCTCAGCAGGAAGTCTAATATCTTCGGACGGGGCAAGTTCTCTATTTCTACTTTATCTTCGGTAAATATCTTCAAGCCTTTTTCTGGGTGTTCCTTCAATATCCAATCAGAGAATTTGAATATTAGGTTTATGTGTTCAGCACCTGAAACATGAAATTATTTGAGTTTGAAAGATAAGTTCCACACTTACGGTGCCTACATCTTATTCAAGTTTCACATACCAAGTTGTTGCAAATAATTTTTCGTTCCTTGGTAACCTTCTAAGCTAGAATCTGGTTCTTTGGCCTGATCTCTAAGCAGCTGCAGCGCTTTCATATGCTGCCCTTTAGTTTGGTACAATATTATTAATTCGCTATATTTTCCATGCTGCAGTAACATCCTCTCAGCTTCTTCTAGACGACAATTGTTGATCCGTAGTAAAGGTGCAACTAAAGCATCGTTTATCTGAAAAATATTCTCGAAGTTTTAATGACTGAATGCTACATTTTTTATGAGAAATGCTTAAATAAGATACAATCAAAATAATTTCATACTCTTTCCTTCGCGTGACTTTCCGTACATGTAACGTACGTTGATTCACGTAAAATAGGTTTGTAAACAGTGATCCTTACCTGCAAATAACACTTCAACAAGGTAGTATCAATCAGTTCTAGTTGCTGCGTGACATTCCTTTGCTTAGTCGCCTCATCCGGACCAGTGCTGTTCCCTATATTCGCTCTCAACTCCTTCAAGTACATAACCAGCGCATTCAAAGCATTTTCGAGATCTTTTCCAACCAATTTCTTCGGATTATCTTCATTAGTTTTACCGTCTAGTTCAGGGAATAATTTGATGACGTCAGCTGGGTCTGTCTTGAGTTTAATGAATTCTTTCATAGATTGCGAATATTGTTTATTGTCGAATAGTTCTAACGCGTATAGGACTTGTATGGAATGTATTTTCTGTTCCTTTTCTTCTGGTGTGCAGTCTGACAGACTCTGTAAAATAGAATTATGGTTTTTATTATTACGTTTTTGTTTTTGGTGTTGGTCTTGTATATTTTTTGTATATTGTATATGTGTGCCCTTAAACAGAACAGAAAGAAATCTCAGTAGCAGCACGGAGTCTGGCATTGTGCCCGGTATATGGCAATAGGCTTACCCCCTATTACATGGGACTCATAACATAAATATTGAAAAGTGGGCGTTACATTGTACAGTGGCATTAAGTACCGTAGGTAATGTGCACCTCTGCCTACCTCTATGGTCAAAGGTGTGATGTTATGTTAAACAGAACACACAGACTTATCTCTTTTTCCTAAAAGTGAAGGGTGAGCATAGTAAGAGTAGTAATTTTTGAGTACCGTCATTATA